GACCCTGAGACCACCCCATCTCCTCCGGAGGCTCAGACCCTGAGACAGCCCTGTCTTCCCCGGAGGCTCAGACCCTGAGACAGCCCTGTCTTCCCCGGAGGCTCAGACCCTGAGACCACCCCATCTCCCCCACCCTGAGACAGCCCTGTCTTCCCCGGAGGCTCAGACCCTGAGACAGCCCTGTCTTCCCCGGAGGCTCAGACCCTGAGACAGCCCTGTCTTCCCCTGGGAGCCAGGACCCTGAGACTGGACAGAGACAAGGGCTCCTGACATGGACAGGCTCCTAGATGACCAGGACCTCAAATGGGGTCACTTAGGGTCAGGACACTGGTGTGGACAGGGAAGAAGGCTAGGCTCTCAAGGAGGACCTGATGAGAGCTGGAACTTCCAGACAGGTCCTCAGAGGGTGGGGACTCCTGAACAAGTCACTGAGGAGCATGTAGACCCCAAGACTAGACTATAAGGAGTACTGGGACCCTGGAGGGGGGTTCCTGCAGTGTCCTGAATCTGCCCAGCCTCCTCAGCTGGACGCACCTGCTGTGAAGGCCAGGCATCTGGCATCCTGGTACCCGAGGCCCTTTCCATGAGACGCTGGGCCAGCCCCACAGCCCCACAGCCCCACAGCCCCTGCACACAAACTGCCTAGGTGGTTCCTGGGGCAGGTATGAGCCAGGGGTTTCAGGGTTCCAGGAGCTCCCAGCCTACAGGCTCCATGCCTCAGGGTGGCACTGTGCTCTCCCCTCTCAGCCCCTTGTCCAGGGCTGCTGTCCTGTCCTTGCCTTGGCCATGGTCCGTGTCCAACACCTTCAACCCCTCCTGCCCCTCTCCCCATCTTCAAGGTCACGTGAGTGCCCCGCTTCCTCAGTATAGAGGCGTTTCCTGTGTCCAGGAGACTCGGAGGAGGGGTGGGGTCTCAGCTGGGATGTGGAATCCTGGGCATATTTTGGGGACAATTGGTCCAAGTCAGGAAAGCTGGAGCAGGCAAGGCTGTTTCCCACTCCCTCTCCAGTAAGGGAAGGAATTAAAGGATCCTGGTGGTGGTGGTAGGGGGGGTGGTTTATTTCTCTGAAAGCTTTGAATCAGCGTTTCATCGAGAACTTGTGGGTGTTTTCCTTTAATTTGGAAGTGGTAATGAAAAAGTGGGGTGCAGTTTTTATACTGCATGAGGTATTCAGAAGCGAGCGATCTATGCTGTCCTTTGAGTAGGGAAGGGCTGTCTAGTGAGATCTTGTCAAGGGCGTTTCAAGAAGGTGGTCATCCCAGGAACCCCGCTCCCAGAGGGCGCCGTGTGGCTGCTGGGTGTGCCGCACATTTTCCAAAGGAGTGAATGATGCATGAACGAGTGAATGAAAGGCAGGGTCGCTCTTCAGGCACATCCCCTCAGATTAGGCGTGCGGGCTTGCCTGGAAGTTGGGCAATAAGATGAGGTGTAACCCTAAAACTCTGAGCTATCTGGACTCCCAAGAGAGACACTGTGAATTAGATGGTTCGGGATTTCATCTCTGCTACAGCTTCACTTCTTGGTTACTTAGGAGAAAACCGTGTTCGGTTTTCAGCTTAACATTTCGGGGTACTCAGTGTCAGCCACATTGTGTCCCCGCATGGTCAGCCTGGGCCTAGAAGCTTTTACTCGCCCAGTGTAACGCCAGGGACCTTTTTACTCAACATTTCCTTCCGATTTGCTCTTTTGACATATCCTTTACTGTTTTTTAAACTTCATTTGCTTTGTGAAATTGTGGAGAGGCTTGTGAAGCTGAGTATTCAGGTTTGTTTGGGTCTGTGCTGTCTGGTTCCCAGGTTTTTAGAGGTGTGGCTGTGCTGAGTGGCTGTATTATTTATATATGGCTGTGCGGCAGATTACCCCAGAACCCATGACTTAAACCAACAGTCCAATAGTATCTTACTGTTTCTGTGGGTCGGGACTGCAGGCAGGCTCTGGCTCAGGGACCTCCCATCTGAGGTTGTGTCTCTGAAGGCTGGACTGGGGAGGGTCCGCATCCAGGCTGCGTCATGTGACTGTGGGCTGGAGACCTCGGTTCCTTTCTCTACATGGCAGCTCTGAGGGAGCCCATGCCAAGTCAGAGAGGGACAGGAAGGACGTCCCAGTCTTTGTGGAGTGACATTCTACCACTTTTGCCAAATTGTCTTTGCCAGGAGTCATTAGGCCCCTACACACTTGAGGGGAGGGGACTCCAAAACGGTGAGCATACGATGGGCAGATGGGGTCACTGGAACACCTTAAAGCCTGCACAGCGCGGCAGTGCTGGGAGCCTGGCACCTGTCAGGGCACCGGAGAGGCTTCCTGTCAGTAAATCAGCGATTGCATGTGGAGTCACGCATTAAGACGAGGATGTGACCGTTCAGCTGTCTCTTTAATTGGTGCGGGTTTCTCCAGTGTCACCGTCATGACTGAGATATTTGTGATATGTAAAGGAAGATAAATTACAGATAGAAAAGATTCTTAGGAATTAACTTGTAATTTGGAATACCAGTAGCAAGCCATAAGACCCCCACAAATTGAATTGCAGGGTGTGTGTCACTGATGTCAAATTCTTTCCGACAGCTTCAGGTGCAATGATTGTACTTGTTCCCAGAGTCCCCTCATTTTCTTCATGCCAGTGATTTTGCTCCAGAAATTATCAACCGACTTCTGTTAAGTTTTCCTAAACCATTTTAAATATGTGGGGGAAATGTTTTTACTGGTTATGGTAGACCTTGTGCACACGGTTATTTGTGACTTCATAAAAATGCCGTGGGAGACGTGAGACCCTGACCATGTTGGACATTTGACCTGTGTGAGGACTTAACTCCAGGGTCGAGGCACTACTTCGAGCCAGAGCCTCTGCTCCCAGCAGCCGCCCCCCGCTCCACAGGGAGCCAGACCCCATGCCTCCCTCGGGTTCTGGGCTGGAGCGAGGGCCGGGAAGGGGACCTGTCCTGGACTCTGGAGACCTCAGCCGCCCCCTCCCACCACGCTGCCCTCTCTAGATTGTCAGCGGCTCTGACAAAATCGAGGAGCTGCAGGGTACGGCAGGGGCCCTTTGCCACGGGCTAGAATTGTTTACTTGGGTTTTTTGATTTGGATTATAAAGTGAGCCTTGTTTTGATATATACTGTTACTCTTTATTAAATGGCAGGATTTATTTTGTTTGCAGCCTTATTTGGTTTATGGTTAGAATTGAAGTTGAAAATGTAATTTTTCTACAGAATTAGCCAAGCGTGTGTAATTTTTCTGCAAAAATTAGCTGGGCATGGTGGCAGGTACCTGTAATCCCAGCTACTCGGGAGGCTGAGGCAGAAGAATCGCTTGAAGCCGCGAGGCGGAGGTTGCAGTGATCTGAGATCGCACCACTGCACTCCAGGCTGGGCGACAGAGTGAGACTCTGTCTCAAAAAAATAAAAAAGAAAATAAAAAAAAGAAAATGTAATTTTTTTTTTACCATTGAAATATAGTGAGGTTTAGGGACAGTTTCCTATTGTTTATCTATTTTTTATTATGATATTTGCTGTTAATATTGTAAAAATATGGTATAATTCATTGTGCTTCAAAAATTGAAATTATTTTTAATTTCATACATTAATAGTTTATCATTGAATTTTTAAAATGTGAGGCCTTAAGAAAAACAAAACAAAGCTATCTTTCCTGATCTGCCGCGTTTCTCCCGACAGAACTGAATTATGTAAACACCAAAATGACAAAGAACAATAGTGAATGTTGCCTAGGTGCATTTTTGTAGAATTATCCACTAAATTAAGCAAAACTGCCATTGATAGGAACTAATACTCTCTAGAAAATATAGCCCTTCAACTTATTATTGTATTGACTTGCTTTTTTTTAAGATAAACTCTAATATTTTTGTTTGTTTGTTTTGAGTTGGAGTTTAGCTCTCAACCCAGGCTGGAGTGCAATGGTTCGATCTCAGCTCACTGCCACCTCTGCCTCCCAGGTTCAAGTGATTCTCCTGCCTCAGCTCCCTAAGTAGCTGGGTTTACAAGTGCCTGCCACCTCGCCCTGCTAATGTTTTGTATTTTTAGTAGAGATGGGGTTTCGCCATGTTGGCCAGGCTGGTCTTGAACTCCTGACCTCAGGTGATCCACCCGCCTCAGCCTCCCAAAGTGCTGGGATTACAGGTGTGAGCCACCGCACCCGGCCAATAAACTCTAATATTTAGGTACATTTAGAGAGTGGATTTGTTGGCTTGGTGTTTGTTTGTTTTTTTTTTCAAATTCAGTGATATTTGCTGGGCTTTGCTACATTAACAGCAAATTCCAGATGTTTAATAAGAAATAGATGCAAAGAGAGGAAGTCTGTCTGCAGACCTCCTTGAAACTCCCTGTAATCCATGGGTCCTGTTGGCCTGGTGGGTCTTATGGGGGCTGTGGGCCTCGTGGAAGCTGTGGGCCTCATGGGGGCTGTACGGCCTTGTTGGGGGCCTGTGGGCCTGGTGGGGGCTGTGTGGCCTCTGTGGGCCATGTGGGGGCTGTGTGGGCTCATGGGGGCTATGGCCTGGTGGGGGCTCATGGGTCCTCTGTGGCCTGGTGGGGGCTCATGGGTCCTCTGTGGCCTGGTGGGGGCTGTGGGCCTGATGGGGGCTGTGTGGGCTCATGAGGGCTGCGTGACTCATGGGGGCTGTAGCCTTGTGGCTCCTGTGTCCCTTGTGGGTCCTGTGTGGCCTGGTGGGGGCTGTGGCCGTGTGGGTCCTGTATGCCTCGTGGGTCTTGTGTGGCCTAGTAGGGGCTGTCGCCTTGTGGGGGCCGTGGCCTTGTGGGTCCTATGTGGCCTTGTTGGTCCTATGTGGCCTGGCAGGGGCTGTGTGCCTCCTGGGGGCTGTGGCTTGTGGGTCCTATGTGCCTTGTGGGTCCTGTGTGCTTCGTGGGTCCTGTGGGACCTGTGGTAGGGGCTGTGTGGCCTTGTGGGGACTGTGGCCTCATGGGGGCTGTAGCCTTGTGGGTCCTGTGTGGCCTGGTGGGGGCTGTGACCTGGTGGGGGCTGTGGCCTTGTGGGTTCTGTGTGGCCTTGTGGGGACTGTGGCCTCATGGGGGCTGTAGCCTTGTGGGTCCTGTGTGGCCTGATGGGGGCTGTGGCTTCGTGGGGGCTGTGGCCTTGTGGGTTCTGTGTGACCTTGTGGGTCCTGTGTGGCCTCGTGGGGGCTGTGGCCTCGTGGCTGCATCTCCTGTCTGGGTCCTGTGAGCTGTTACATTTCCAGGTTCTTGATCAGGCCTGGCCCATATTAGATGCTCAATAAATAGTAACCAGAAGCTGATCCTTGTGGCTACTGTGTGGAGCTCCTGTGTGGAGCTGTTCTGAGGCGTGTTAACTTGTTGGATTCCTGATGCCGCCCAGGAATCAGACCATGAAAGCTGTGCTTGTTTCTCAGCATGAGCCTGGCATGGCAGAGGGCACACAGGGCAGGCATGGTTAGAATGTGGGGGCAATGAGGGCTCACCTTAAAACTTTTTAAATGTTAAGTGATTTTAGTTTACTTTTTCACCCAAATTTTTACGAAGAAAAAAATCGCAATAGAGAACAATGGAGAAAATTATACAGTGAGTACTTGCTGTGGTCCAAATGTCTGTGTCCCCCAGAATCCATGGGGGACCCTAACCCCCAAGGTGGTGGTGTCGGGCGTGGGGCCCTCGGGAGGCTCTGCCCTGATGACCAGGGCCCTTTCTGTCATTGAGGACATGAGAGAAGGCGCTGCCTGTGAGGACTCCGACCCCACCAGCCCCCAAATCTGCCAGCGCCCTGATTCTGGACTCCCAGCCTGCAGAACTGAGAAGTGAGTTCTGTGGTTTGTCAGCTGCTCAGTGTCAGGTGCTTTGGTCACTGAACACACCAGGACAGTACCCTCTACCGCCCAGACCCACTCATGGCCGTTCGGCCACGTTTGCTTCCGCTTCTTCTCTCAGTACATCCTGGACCCACCTGTGAGCGGCTCTGGACAGGAGCCTTGCTGGGAAGGTGAGAGTCCCAGCTGAGAGCAAGAACCAGGGGAGGCCCCCACACCGCTGTGACCCCGGGACGGGGAGGCCCCCACACCGCTGTGATCCCGGGACGGGGAGGCCCCCACACCGCTGTGACCCCGGGACGGGGAGGCCCCCACACCGCTGTGATCCTGGGATGGGGAGGCCCCCACACCGCTGTGACCCCGGGACGGGGAGGCCCCCACACCGCTGTGACCCCGGGACGGGGAGGCCCCCACACTGCTGTGACCCCGGGACGGGGAGGCCCCCACACCGCTGTGATCCTGGGATGGGGAGGCCCCCACGACGGGGAGGCCCCCACACCGCTGTGATCCTGGGATGGGGAGGCCCCCACACCACTGCGGCCCCACTGTGACCCCGGGACGGGGAGGCCCCCACATCGCTGTGATCCTGGGATGGGGAGGCCTCCACACCACTGCGGCTCCACTGTGGCCCCGGGACGGGGGTGCCTACTTCACAGCGTTAGCTGATTTCCAGGCCGCCTTACCTCTCCCCAGCTGAGAATGTCTCCGTGTCTTCCAGAATCAGAGTCAGCCAGACCCTGGCCTTGCCCTGGCCCTGCTGGCTGTGCCAGGTGAGACCCCCTGGCGCTGGAGGGTCTTGTCTCCCTGTCCGTGGACCGGGCTCGCGTCCTTCCCACCCCACTGCCTTCTGCCCGGCCGGCGGAGACATGGCTCCTGATGTCCTCTTCAGTCTCAGCTGGAGAAAGCGGCTCTGGAGGGACTCTTGACATTAGGCCAGGCACACCTGGGCACTCCCGATTTTGAGGTGGCTTATTTGGGACCTTAGTTACAGCTTCAAGAGTCCCTTTACAGCAGTTCGTGGGTCAGTATGTGAGAAACAGGACAAGGTCTGTGTACACCAGAGGCCCAGAATCTTGGTGCCATTTCCGAATTCTGCCTCCCACAGTCTGGCCTCTGGTCACCCCAAATTTATATCCCTCTCACATACACACTGCACTCACCCCTTCCCTTACGAGGTTCCCAGGATCCCATCGAGGGTGGCATCAGCTCAGAGTCCCGAGGGCACCCCCAGGGGATCTGCTCAGCTGCTTCCAGCCCTACAGTGACGGGGTCCCACCGCCTCCGGGCCTGTTTTTACTTTATCCTGCTTCTGTGCAGATTGAGCAAGAGAACTGGGTGTCGGTGCTGGGACGCTGTAGACCCTGCGGGTGAGAACTGGGCTTCGGGGCTGGGCTAATGTAGACCCTGAGGGTGAGAACTGGGCGTCGGTGCCGGGACGCTGTGGACTTTGAGGGTGAGAACTGGGCGTCGGTGCTGGGATGATGTAGACCCTGAGGGTGAGAACTGGGCGTCGGTGCCGGGACGCTGTAGACTTTGAGGGTGAGAACTGGGCGTCAGTGCTGGGGCACTGTAGACACCATTAATTGCGTTCTGACCTTGCCTCTCTTTTCCTGGTGTTGTCTGGCTTTACCATCTCCAGCTCTACCTCCTGAGGGTCACGTCATAGCCCCCAGCCCCCCTTGGCCTCTGTTCGTGTTCTCCTGTCTGAGGGCCGTGTTCTCCAGCCACCTCCTGGTGGTCCCTCGGGCCCCTGTTGTTGCCTCTGTCTCTGGCCCTCTTGCCTCTGTCTGGGGTCGCCCGCTGCCTTCGCAGCCTCGCCCTCCTCGGCTGGGTCTCCTGCCTTGGTCTGTCCCTCTTCCTTGCCGTAGGTGTGTTTTTCCAGAGTCATCACTCCCTGGCCACTGTTGTGCCAGTCCCAGCTCGAGCCTGATTGTAGTCGGCAGTGGCTGAGCCGGACTGGTGCCAGTGCTGCCAACACCGCCTGGCGCAGAAAAGGTGTTCGGCAGGCATTTTCTGAGTGAACGTTGAAACTCAACCTTCCTGAGACCTCTGGAAACACCTTTGCTTCCTCTCATCCTGAGTAGTCGAGTGGCTGGGCAGGGAATTCTGTGTGGAAGGTCGTTTTCTTCAGAGTGA